ATTGGTATACCGAGATAACAACTAGCATAAAATTCAGAACTTGAGCACGAGCAAGTGTCAAAGCAAAACATTTTCGAAGACAGAGCAGAATGGATTCCACAACCAAATATCAAGCAATTTTCTATGTTAGCATATGTCAAGCTAACTTCAAGAACTCCACCAGGCATAATTTATATTTGGACATCGATACTCAAGAAACAAAAACAAGTGCAGAATCCAAAACTTGAGTAATAACAAATTTTCAGACAATTTTTTCAGGAATAGGAGCAAGTTTAAACAAAGATATCTGGTAGGCTATTTAGCAGGAAAATTTTCACCCATGTGTGAAAAACCATTTCCTTTCCTGCAAGAGCATTTGGATATGTACAGAAACTAAGTGGCATCAACCACAGCCTAGACATTGGCATGACATAGGCACGTATAATATATAGACTCAAATCCCATAAGGATTTCAATCAAAAAGCACGAAATTTCTTAATGGATCATTGTCGCTTCACATGTAAGTTCATTACACAGGCAAACCAAGTTATCCAGCTCCTAAAACGCATCTAGAAAACACACAACATTTGCTAAAATAGCCTGGAATCTCTTACAAAGTAGAGGGTTGCCCATCTTTCCACTGGTCATGTGACAAACAAGACAAATTCTCCACCAGCTATGCTGTAGAGACTAACAGGATCAATCACAAAAGATCTCTGCAACTCCCCAGATTTCAAAATTGTGGCAAAAGAGCACACAAAAATTCCATTCACGAAACAAGTCTAAACAAGTGCGGACTATCAGAAAATGACCAAGTTTCAAAACAAGGTCTTCAGGACATAACGGGCAAGATTACTTTCACAACTTCACACAAAGTATGAAGGCAAGAAACAAGAACAATCAGATCACCATCTCATCGAAATGGATGAGAAAATTCAGGCAACATGAATCAGAATCGTCCCTTATATAACCCCATCACTTATCTCACCACGATTCTAAAATCCACTGGCTAGCCAAGTCCAAAACAAATCCTAGGTATTCAATTAAACCTAGGCTCTCACATCACGAAATCTTAATCAAACCTAAGCTCTGATACCACTTTATCTGTCACGCCCCAAAACCCGAATTCGAGGCGCGACAAACGCCGTGCACTCGTGAGACGGGTCCCACAAGCGCACAAGGCTCGGAACTTATCCAAATCACATCTGACAATCCCATAACTCAGATCAGATATTTCAAAATTTCTTTTCTATGTCCACATGACTTAACCTCAAAATCTCCAGATCAAATCTCTTGTAAACTAACAATCCATTAAATACAGTTATAAAATCTCCAATCACAATCTAGCTTACAATATCATCATTTATATCTAAGATCCATATTCAAATTTCAAGATGGCTAGCCTTCTAACTCGTCACTCCCCTTGGTTTCCCCGTCCTCGGTTTCGCTTCCTGAAATGGTGGACAAGGAAAAACTATGAGATAAACTCAGTAAGTAAATATGGATAGCCCTCGGTAAAAACTTTAGCATGCCAGATAAACAGTTTAACATAACAAGACGTTCAATGACAAAATCAGATTCAGTTCAGTTGCAAAACATTCAATGACAAACCGTCAATGCAAAATCAGATTCAATTCAATAACAAAACGTTTCATGACAAACCGTTAATTAAACTCATAGCATGCCAACAAGTGTAATCATGAAAACCGATACAGTACGGGCACGAAATAGATGTCTCCTCAATAGGTCATGGCCAGTGTTTAAACCTCCCACTGGCAGGCTACAGTATTTGCTGGTGTTTAACCCCCACTAGCAGGGTCAGTATTTGCTGGTGTTTAACCCCCACTAGCAGGGTCAGTCGAACGAACCGGTCCTATCAATAACATGTCGACATGTGCTAGCGTTTAACCCCCGCTAGCAGGGTCAGTAATAACACGACCACATCGGAGACAAAACAGGCTGAAGTTAGCAGAAAAACACAATTCACCAATTACTTTCAGATCATCAGGACAATCAATCTCCAATTTCAGAAACAATCGGAAAATCTCCATGTGAGCATGGATTTAACAGAAAACTCAGAATTTACAAAAACTCTCAGTTCATCAAAACAGTTCAGTCAATTTCCAAATAGGCATGCTCTACTCAATGCAACGAAAACAATTTCATTCCAATCATGCTCAATTCCAAAAAACAATGAAATTCTCATAAAAACCATCACAATTTCCATTTCAGTTTAATCACATTCAAATGCTGATAAAATCACTTTAAAATCAATTTAAACCTTGCCACCATCGCAAAAACAATTTAAAACATGCTTTACAATCGAAGGGCTTTACCATAATTTACTTACCTCACTCGCTTAAAACCAAAGGCTCGATTCACGGTGCTAACAGACAGAACGATCGGGAACCTAATCAAAACACCTCAGAATTAATACCGGACTATCACAAATTCAAGTTGAAATCATCATGACAAATCCCTAATCACAATATTATTCCTATCAATCTCCACATAACCGGACCTCTCCAAATTTATTTTTATATCACAAACTAATCATTTAAATCCCACTTCAATTAAGCTAAATCATGGTCCTAAAGCTACCGGAATTTCCCCCAGAAAATTCACAGCAGCCAAATCAAGCAATTTATACTTAACCCAAGCTTAAAAACACATTTTATGCTACCCACAATTATCCCATAATTCCGGCGGGATCTCGGACAACACAGAGCAACTAATTGGACAACAATTAATCGATAAATTCGAACTTAAAAGGGCTGTCCATACCAGAATTTGCAGCTAGCAGAACCGGGCCTAGCAGGGGGAGAAGCCGGCGGGAAATTGGGGAAAGGCCGGCGGCAATTTCTGCAGGGGACTCACGGACTAGCCAAAAATTGGAGAACCAAAGTTAACCCAAGCTAAATCAAGCTAAAAGGATGAAAACATGGCTGTTTCTTACCCAAAACCGGAGCAAATCACCCCCACAAAGCAAGAGCAGCCGGCGGACAGGGGAGGAAGAGGAGAGCAGATCCGGGAGCTTCCTGCAGGGGGGAAGATTTCTGGGTTCTAAATCAGGTTCTTGGACAAGAAAAGAAGGGAAAAATCTAAGCTTTTACCGGTTTTCCTCAAAAACTTGTTGCCGGCAGCTTGGGGGGGGG